CTCTCCTTTTTCCTTTTTTTTCAAACCGCGGCCACGCAGAGGAGCGATTTTGTTTTTATCCGGCAACTACCTGTTTAATAGGGGCGGGGAAGTGCAGCCGCGCTTTTATTTTTTTTTTTCTTTTTTTTTCATCCACGTACCGAACGTAGTTTAGTATATACACGGGCAACTTCGAGTATACGAAGGAGGTGAAGGAGGTAACTGAGAAGGTGGAGAGAAAAAGAGAGAGATACATACATATATATATATATATAGAGAGAGAGAAAAGTAGAATGGTGTAAGTATTTCTCACGTTCTCCCGTGCGATGAACCGTCTTCTAGCTTTCTACGCTCGTTGCATGCGTAAATTGCGCGGGATCCGCTCGCGATGCAAAAATACAGCTGAAAAGCGTGGCGAGACTTATTCTCGTCGCGGTGCACAACACCGCTTCAATATCGATAGAAATGCGCCTCCACGTCCCCGTGTATTCATGATTTTTCCGCGCGTGCACGCGCGTACCGCGCGCACTATTTCGCGAATAATCACGGGGGCATCCACGTTTAAAAAAAAAAAAAAAAAGAAGGAATAACAATTGGAGTGGGGACGGGAGGTTCTCGTTAATGACATTCGGTGGATATGGCAATAATTTTAGCGAGATGCGAAGATAAAAAGGAAGGAAGGGAAAGGAAGAAGGAGAGAGAGTGGACAGATCGACGCGATACTCGTGGATTACGTTTTGAGCGACGTTGTTAATCCCGCCTTGAACGCGATTTTAACGAATCGGATAAAACGCGTCTTTTATGTTATATCGCGTTGTCACGTTCTAAATCTCATCATCCTTTCTGCCCTGAATAATTTTTTCTTCCTTTTTTTAAAATAATTCTTATACGAATTGTTATATTGCCATATAAAATATTTAGTTGGGCGAAAATTTTGGAATGTTTTTTTGGAAGATTATTTGTTCGAACACGCCCAGTTTTGTATCGATATTGGGCATTCTTTTCAATAAAAGGAAAGGAAAAGATTTTTAAAAAAACAAAGATCGATTGTTTAAATCAATGCACTTATTTACGATCCCGTTATTTTTCAGATAAGCCGAGTACATCACGGACTCTGGAACTGAAAGTGGTTCTAATAACTAGCATCAGGCCTGTAAGCATGCTCATGGCAGTATTTTAATGGCGGGAGGTCCTTGAAAGTACCTTGAGGACAGAAAGGGTTAATAAGCGTGAAAGGTATTTGCTTTGCTAGCTAGGCGTTACGCGATTATTTTTCTCGACAGAAAGAGATCCCCCCCCACCCGGAGTGTCACTTGAAGTATTTTGCGTATTTCTCACGTCCGGAGGAGGACAATGAACCAACTTCCAACTTTCTAAGCCTTGTACGCGTGCCGGTAGCAGAACAGAAGGAAGAAAATGAATTCACCGGTACATAATGTAATAAGTATTTTATAATTAATTCCAACGCTGTCCGGATAGGAAACGATCCGCCACAATATTCTTCACTAACTATCTGATAAAATTGAGGGATATATGCATCATGCATGACTCTAATCGCACCATTTTCCATACATTTTTTTCAGCCTATCAGAATTATATTAATACCGACAATTCACCGACAAATAAATTTTGTATGCTTTATATTCCAGAGGCGGTAAAAATTTCAGTAAATACGTAATATATATACATTCGGTAAATATAATATAATATACGCTTCATTTGAAAATAAAATTGTTTGAACACTTTATGGTGTACGGTTGTGGTTATTAATGTAACGTTAAAACTTTAGAAAGCTTTGCAAATATGTATTTAATTAAAATATGTGTTTATATGAATTGTATATGTGTTTGATTAAAATTTTATAATTAATTCCAACAATCCTCGGTTGTTAAAAATCTTCATCGTCAACTTTATGATCAACGTTAACTTTTTAGTACCTATTTAAATAAGCTATTTGTTATTTTCATAACGTATAAAGTGCAAAAGATGGAAATCAAATTTATTTCATATGTCTTTAAATACAACAAGTGGAAAATATTAAATCCCATAATTATAATTAAGTGAAATATTTTTTTTTCCTGAAAATTTAGCAGCACCAAGCGCAGAATCAAATATATATTTAAAGGATAAGTATGAATCAGATAAGTACACTAAATTCCAGAAAATTTCAAAGTGCCATCTTCTCTCAAATTATATTCTTCGAATACATAAATTTAAAATTTGATTAAAAATGTCTAATGATGATAAAAAATTTACTGTCTAGAAATATTCGAGAAAAATTTCACATCTGTCTCTCCAATTATATTTTCCTATTATAAAATTACAAATTTGAATAAAAATTTTGCTATCAAAAATTTCAACTTTGTATCAGAAGAATATAATTGGGCAGGAAATAGCAGAAATTTTTTCAGAAATTCTGAGGCAGAAATTTTTCATTTTATTCAAATTTTTGACTTTGTATTAGAAAAATATAATTGGTCAAAAAATTCCATATAACTTTTTTTTTTTAGTAATTTTTTTGATTCCAAATATTTCTTATAATTCTAAGTATT